TCTTTCCTCTTCCCCTTTTCCCTCTTTCTCCTCCTCTCTCCCCGGCTCCCTTTCGCCCCCTCCCACATTTTCCCCTCTTCTCTCCCCCGTCTCCCCTCAGGCCGCCATGACCAAGCTGGGGCAGTGGCTGTGTGGACTCGCCCTGCTGGGCTCCGCCTGGGCAGCTCTGGCTCTGGCTCCGCCGGCTTTTCAGCCACCGGGCCCGCTCCGCCAGGCGCTGCTGCCGCTGCCCGTCTACCTGCTGGTGGCTTTCGGCTGCTACTCCCTGGCCACCGTGGGCTACCGCCTGGCTACCTTCAACGACTGCGAGGAGGCGGCGGCCGAGCTGCAGGAACACATCAGGGCGGCGCGGGCGGACCTGCGCCGGCGGGGGCTGCGCTTTGGACCCCAATAAAGCCCAGGGACGGCATAAACCGGTGCTGTTCTGTGATCCCGGGACACGGGGGGAACGTGGGCACCGAGGGCTCTGGGTGCTGCTGGAAGCCACCCCGGGGGAATCGCTCAGCTCTGGCCGGTGCGAGGTGGGTGTTTGGGGGGCTCTGTGAAGGCCAGGGGTCTCTATGTTCTCTCTCTCAGTTCTCCCACCACACTGAGGAGCTGCAGGAACCTTTCCCACACACGGYCCTGCCCTGTTTTTCCCTCTCTGAGCTCTCTGGATTCGGATGCGGGACAGGCCGTGCCCCAGAGCCCAAGCACATTCCAGGCTCAGATGTGGTTCAGCCCTGCAGGTGGGAGCTGGAGGAGCCTCATCCCGTCCCGCTGGCCGCATTCCCGGCAAGGAGGAGAGGCACTGGCAGGGTGTGGCGKGCGGCACAGCCTTTAAATCACAGCGTGGTCCTCCCCGGGCATTTCAGGGGGAACTCTCCAGCTCCTCTGCCTATCCACAGCACCACGCTCGGCTTCACTGGGAAGAAAGAGGGGTAGGGGAGTCTCTCTGGAGCTCCCCCCGTTCCTGGGGACCCCCATCCCTGCTCTCTGACCCGCTGTGCCAGGACTTGCTGCCCTGGCAGCTTCTCCAGCYGAAAGACTTTGGGATTTTAATTAGCAGCTGTGTATCCTCTGCAGAAAGGAGCAGTTGGGAGCGGGAGGGAGGACTCGGGTTAATTAGCAGGAGCAGCTAATTAGCTGTTTCCTGAGCAGCAAAGGCCGGGTGGGAACAGGGTGGGAAGCTCCCAGCACTCGCTGGCACACGGATGGTTGGGGGGTGACACTGCCCTGGATTCAGCCACAAGGGGCCTTGATGGGGTCAAGACCACAGCACAAGGACAGCAGTGCTCCAGGGGCTACTGACAGCCCTCTGCGGGCTACTCAGGGCCAGCAGGGGCTACTCACAGCCAACCAAGGGCTCCTTGTGACCATTCAAGGGCTACATATCCATGCAGTGGCTACTTGTGGTCATGTAGGGGCTACTCATGGCCATCAGGGGCCACTGATAGCCCTCTGTGAGCTACTTAGAACCATCAGGGGCTACTGATAGCCCTCTGCGAGCTACTTAGGACCATCAGGGGCTACTCCTCGTCATCTAGGGGCTACTCACAGCCTTTTGTGAGCTACCCATGACCTTGTGCCGGCTACTCCTGGCAATCCAGAGCCTCTACTCATGGCCATKCAGTGGCTACTCACAGCCTTCAAGGAGCTACTTGTGATCCACAGCAAAAGGACAGCAGCGCTCCAGTGGCTACTGACAGCCTTTGGTGGGCTACCCAAGGCCATCAAAGGCTACTCGTGGTCATCTAGGGGTTACTCACATGAGCTACCCTCTCTGAGCTGAGATGGTCATCTGTGAGCTACCCATGGCCCTGTGCTGGCTACTCCTGGCAATCCAGAGCCCCTTCTCATGGCCATTCAGTGGCTACTCGCAGCTTTCAAGGGGCTACTTATGGTCATCCAGGGGCTACTCAGGGCAATCCAGGGCCTCTACTCATGGCCATTCAGTGGCTACTCACAGCTTTCAAGGGGCTACTTATGGTCATCCAGGGGCTGGCTACTCCTGGCAATCCAGAACCTCTACTCATGGCCATTCAGTGGCTACTTACAGCCTTCAAGGAGCTACTTGTGATCCACAGAACAAGGACAGCAGCGCTCCAGGGGCTACTGGCAGCCCTTGGTGGGCTACTCAGGGCCATCAAGGGCTACTCGTGGTCATGTAGGGGCTACTCACATGAGCTACCCTCATCTCTGAGCTGAGATGGTCATCTGTGAGCTACCCATGGCAATCCAGAGCCCCTACTCATGGCCATTCAGTGGCTACTCGCAGCTTTCAAGGGGCTACTTAYGGTCATCCAGGGGCTACTCAGGGCAATCCAGGGCCTCTACTCATGGCTGGGCTACTCCCAGCCCGTGTGGTGGCAGCCCAGCGGCAGCTCCTCCCTGCACGGAAGCGTCCAGGAGCTGCCTCCGGCCTGGCACGAGGGGCCACGTCAGAGCCGCTCCCGGCACGGGGCAGCCGGAGCGACCGGTTGGCAGCCGAGGTGTGTCGGTGGAGAAAGCTGCCCTTTGCCGAGGCCGTGGRGCTGCTCCGGGGGGGAGCGAGGGGCTCCTCCCCGCTGGGATGAATCCCAGGAGCAGCCGGAGCAGCAAGGGGCAAGATGGAGCACGCCAGGAGCTCGTCCTCCTTCCCTCAACGCTGCATTCAGCTCGGCCGCGTCCCTCCGTATGGATTTTTCCAGGCTGTGTGTGAGGTGTGGAGGAGCAGTTGAGGCACAGCACAGCTCCTCTCGGTGTCCTCCCAACTGTGTCACCTTGGCCAGAGCGTGGGATGAGGCTCCTCAGTCCTGTGTGGGGTGGGGGTCACTTTCTGAGCATCTGCTGTGTGATTTGTCCCCCCTCCTGTCCCTCCACCGAGGCACCGGCCMCGATATCTTCATTCCAGATCGCTGTTAATTGGTTAATCGACGTCGGATCGATGCTTGATCCGGGCTCGCTCGATCCGCGGGGGTTTTAGCAAGAATTCCCATCGATTCCCGGTTCCTGGTGGCTGCTTGTCAGCTCCACAACAAGCTTTTACCCCCGTGCAGTGACGGGTGGCTCCCGTAGCTCAGGGGTCACAATGCTTTCTTCCCCAGAGTCCCCTCCTGGATGCAACCCAGCCCTGTGCCAACACCAGGACTGATGTGAGGCTTTGCCATAAATAGCCCAGGGGGTGTCAGGATGAGCCCCTGCCATAAATAGCCCCTGGATGGCTATAAGTAGCCCCTGGATGGCCATAAGCAACCCCTGGATGGCCACAAAGAGCTCCCAAAGCAGCTGTACCATCCTCTGCAGCAGAACCAGGAGGGAGGGACAAGAAGCAGCCTCTGGGAAGTCTCWGATTTATTAAAAGGCACTTGAATCCATACAAAAGAGACGCCTGGACCCCTGAAAGCTCCATCCCGGTGCCAGCCAGGGCTGTGGGCATGGAGAACCATCCTCCCACCCTGGGATTTGAGGGGCTCGTGGCACCCTGAAGGCATCACTGAGAGCTCTGCAGATTCGGGGCTGGAGGCAGGAGGTCCCTCCTGGTGGCCCATGCGAGTGGCCAAAGGGACAGCGGGGACAGCATCCAGGGCTCGGCAGTGGGGCCAGCCCAGGCCAGAGTTGGGGGGCTCCACAGGGGACCCCTCAGGCGGGCAGGGGGCTGTAGGGCTTGTCCTGCCCTGGCCGGTACCGCTGGAARAGCCAGAACCGCACGAGGCTGGTGACAATCCCCGGCACATTGGGGACCTGTGGGAGGACACGGGGGGAGAGTGGATCTACCCCTCCCCCTGTGGTGCCGGGGGAGGTTTATTGGCTCCATCCTGGCTAATTAATTAAAATCAATAGTCATCGTGCTGAGCATTGTCACAGGCTTGGCTRGGTGACACATTCGGTGCTGAGCAGGGCCAGCCCCAAGCCAAATGCTCAGCTGAGCCATGAGAGGGGAATTTTGGGGTGCAATGGGGTAGGATTGAGTGGAATGGATGGGGCTGGGAARGGATGGGAGAGAGTAGAATGGGATGGAGTGGGACAGGGATGGGRYAGGATTGAGCTGRATGGGGTGGGGTGGAATGGGGATGGAGTGGGGTGAGATTGGGATGGGAACAGAACAGGATGGGGTGG